AATCTTTCTCATTTTTGATTCCAAGAAGAATGTCTTTTGTCTCGTTGAAATTCTTTTCTCGGAAAACCAATAAGTGCAAAATTCAGGTTGGACAACGGAATTGTGTATCATAAAAGTGGAGTTCCTTGCTTGTCGACGGCAAGCTTCAATTGCTTTTAAATTAAACCTTTTATTTACCGATACTTATGACGCCAGAATAAGGTTGAAACCGTTCGCGAGATACCAATATAGTTTCGCTTTATAGCTGTATCAAATTACACTCCTTTAAATGCCCATTATTTACGTTTTTAGTCACCATTGGATTGTGGTCCTTCCCATTCCAGTATACCTTTGCTTGAATTGAGGTAATAGAATCGACCAATCAACAACAGTTTATGCATCAACAATTGATTCTGGGAAGCACTTCTTGCCTTTTCCGAGAACCATTAAACAACATGGTTGACATTATTGCTCTAGGAATTGGTACAAAGGAAAAAGGGGACTCTTTCATATACTCCAGAAAGTCTTACGTCGCTATAATTTAAACAGTTTGCTGTAGTACAGATTTGCTTTACCCGCTTTAAACCAGTCTATGGATGGACGAACAAATTATGGCAAACTAAGAGGTGCTGGCAGTAGGAGAAGGAGTAGGATGCAAACACAAACACAGGAACTTGTAATTATCATCTAGGTTGACTAAAAAGCAGGCTGATGATCACTGTCTTTTACTGTTTTAAATCACAGTCGAACATGTTTCCGCATGGCTTGCCATCTGTTTGCCACAATACAATTCATAATACGTAATATTTATGCCCTTTCACTTCCGTAGTCAAAATAGAGTGTGTCACTGTGCGATGTAATAATTCGCAATTATTAAAAGAAGGCCTCTCATTCTAGACTTTCGTTAAGATCGCTCGGCTCTCATTTTGTTCTCAATCAGACAGTTGTGAAAAATAACTATTAATATTAAACAGAGCAAAAGTCATGGATAGTAGTCGCTGGCAGATCACACTCGTGCCTTAGTCTGTTGATGTGCTGCATTGTGCATTTGTAATGTTGTTATCATTTTGCCACGATTTTTAGCATAACTTTTACTTTACTTTAACTTAGATTTAAAAGATTTACCGACGTTGAGCAAGCAGGAGAATTTTTTATTTCCTTTTCCCTCGTTGTTCGCACCCAGAGCTGAATGGGGATCAGAATGGCTTTCAAGGAAAACCAACCAGTGCAAAATAGCTACAAATAAACAAAATAAGACTGTCATGTCACAATAGAATTAGTGCATAATAGTGCGTAGTATTCAATTAGCTATTTCACTCTATGACTTGGAGAGAGCTTTGCTCAAGTTTTGTTTAGCTGACAAACACAAAGTTTCCAACAAAACGTCTGTCTTGTTTGGTTGAATGTGACAACTTTTAAGACGGATTGAACATACTCAGTAAAGCTTCAAATAATTCAAAACGAAGGAACTATAAAACAACGCGCTCCAGTTTAAAAACTCACTTATATCAAGAAAAGCAAAATGAATTGTATCAGCGCCTGAAGAATGTTCTTGGTGTGGGTTCGGTTTAAGCAACAATTAGCGCGGATCTGAAGATAATTTACCGTGAGAATTCAACATCTTGGAAACACTACATTAAAGAAGGTTTAGCGTCAAAACATAGCAGGAAATCATGATCACCTTCACGGACCAAAAGCTACACGCATGTAGCTATTCAAAAGCATGCACTGTGGAGAAAATCAAAGAAACTAAAATATTTGCTAAAAGGTTAGTTAGCTGCAATAAAAAGCTTGAGACTTTGAGGTCAAAGAAAATTTATGGTGCTTAACAACTGCATCTGAGATCAAATTAATCCTGTGCAAACCACACCGGAAACCACAAAACAATTGCCAAATGCTTCATTACCTCTCAATGTCAATAGTGTATGACTTGGAGCGGCCAAAGTAAGATTTTCTCAGTAAAAAATTAAAAAACTCCATGCACTGCATAACTTACGTGCTAGAAAAAAAGGACAACCCCACCGTTGTTATTTCAATGAATACTGTAAGGCGATCACGTTTCACACTATCACGAGCTTATGCGTCGTGTTTAGCCTGTCAACACTTTATTTCGACTTAATTTCCTTTGTGAATCTTCCGACGATTTTCTGTTTCTCTCTGCGAATGCCGAATACATGTTCAAATAGCTACCTGGAGTTATGAAAACCGGCTTAGCAAACATTTTGTAATTTTTCTCAACTTCCTCTGTCTAATAGCTTGTTTATTGTGTTGTTTGCTTATGTCGTTTTTTTTTTTTTTTTTTTTGCTAGTTTTGTGGTTAGGGATTTCTGTAGAAGTGGATGGAGACAGAATTACTATCTTACCCTCCCCCCCTCCCTATTTTTTCCCTTGGCACAAATCTTTCTCTAACACAAGTGACAGTTATTTCAAGTCAGTGCGCACCAAAAGCTGGTTTCGGCGCCGTTTAGCAGTTTGCTTTTAGATGTTGGTCACCTTGAGAAAAGTTTCCCGGAAAGGATCATGCAAAGCTCTGAGATGGGACAAAGTTACTACGATTCGCAGAGGCTGCATCGTCCAATATCGTATTATATTGTCGTTTCATATGGCTAAACCGATCAATCACCCTGATCCAGGCTCAGACAGAAAGGCACGATATTGTCCGATTTTCTAGGTCTTTGGCCTCGGGAACAGGCTCTTAGGAGTCAAACTAATTAGGTGAGAGCCAAAACTTTCACCCGGCAACCGTTTGACTCTACATCCGGGAACTTGAATAAGACGAGTGTAACTCTGAGAAAAGTCCAGAGGTAATTGTGTGATTTCCCCGCATAGTGTTGACAAATGTGATCGCGTGGTTGCACTGCGGTTTCGCCAAAATATTCTGTGCCAGCCGTTAATTAATGGTGTTTCGTCGGTGTTTAGCTTAGCTGATTGTACCTTGAAAAAGCATCTCTCGACTCAGGAAAAGGTCTAGTTTCAGCGGGCTCTAATGGCATTGAACCATAGGCCGGCTTTTGCAGATAAGAAGGTGATAATTTGTGCACTATGTTCATTCAGTTTGTTGTCTATTCCATACGAAATCCTGTTCTTTAGCGGACCGCGAAAAACAGTAGTGTTTTGCTAACTATTTAAGTTGTTATGAAAGCCTTAACCAGGCACTCTTTCGCTGCAGTTCACGCAACTTAAAAATTTCTAGACTGAAATGACACCGGTTTGAAAATTCGCGAAGTCAGATTACTGAATAAATGTTCTAAAATTTGCGTCATTTTAAATTTGGACTCGTTGGAATGCTTCTAGGAACCATTACTTACTGCCCGGCGTCAGATATATAACAATTATTCACCGAAGTGGAGGTGGCTAGTGATGGATATTTACCGAAGCCGCGTTAGTGGCGAGGTAAATATCCATCACTAGCCACCTCCACTTCGGTGAATAATTGTTTTAGTATATACTAAAACAGTGAGATAACTGAGCCCAAAAATGATGATTTTAAACTCATTTACTGTTGCCTGCAACGATTACAATTTTGGCGCGCAATGACCGAATGGCTGCTGTCGTCGCTTTTTCTTGCCGGCAAATAAAACTTTTGAAGGCATTTGTTTAGCTCTTGCGGGGAAATTTCCTCAAAAGGAGTTATGAATTCTTTTTGTATTTAAAATCATTCTGTAAAAAGGATTATTAGGTTTAGTTTTAAGCTTATTTATGAACAAGTCAACTAAAAAAAGTAAAACAAGACTTAAACTTAATTTGCATTCGTAAACAACAAAACTTTTTCGCCGGTTTTATCGATAAACTAGTGTCAAAAAAAACAAAGCTTTACCTGTTTAAACTTCCAATCCAAACTTCGTCACCTTCATGTATTTCGGAAACAGCTTGCTTGATTAGTTGTGAAATTTCTTTGTTTGTTACGGCAGCAAACCGGGAAGGCATTTTGTAACTTACGCGAGTTTGGCGTCTCTTGCTCGGAGGAACTGGAGGTGAATCAGTGAATAGTGCAGGATAGTCACTGATTGAGCAGCCAATCAGAGCGCGCGAAAAACACTATCCACTGTTTTAGTATATACTAAAGTCTTTTAATCGGCCTTTGAACGAGTTTTATTATTTTAAATTGCCAAGTAATAGAATTGGTTGATTTTTACTAACCCGGTTTTCAAAAATCCAGGCATATATATATTTTAAAAAATCTCAAAAACTATTCTCATTTCACATTAAGAAAAGATAAACCCTCTTTATCCTCTCTTGTTTCGCATTCATCGCAACTCCCGAACTCCCGCCCTCCCGCCCTCCCGACATGTTTTGCACTTTCGCCCCTCCACGAAACTTCCACGCAACGCGCGAGGAAATACTGTCCGCAGAAAAATCGGTACGTTTCAAAAATAACTTTAGAGGGATTACGATGGGTAAAGGGCCTATATGGGGGATTCGTTCTCTGAGCTTTATCCTCTGTTTATTTCACACATCTTGCCTAGCTTTCTTTAAGGAATGAGATTCGTTTCTCTCGATTATCGTCTGTACGTATTTCCAATAGACCACCTTGGTGGAAGCTTAAAAGAAATTGATTTGAAGGAAGTTGAAAAATTCTAGCACAGAATTTGAAATGCTTTTGGCAAGAAGACGAGAACTAATGGTAGAAGAAAGACGAGAAAGGACCAAAGGACCAAAGCCGAATAAAAGAGGAGAAGTTGAGCAGGCTCCGCAGGATGACTTCAGAGAAATGTCCATTTATCCGAATGAGAAAGAAATTCGCTCTGAGGAGAGCCTTTTTTGACGCGAAACAAGACCGAGAGGAGTGAGGCTTACAAAGACCTCAACGATTATCTGGATGTCCAGTTCCGCCTGTTTCGAGAAGATTTTGTCTTCTCACTCAGAGATGGAATCAGGACTCTAACAAAAAAATACTCCAAAGGAAAAACGGTCTCAAAACTTACACATTTACGAGAATGTTGAGATCATGAACACGGTTTGTACGAGAGCAGGAATTGGCATTCCATTCATCTGGACATGAGAAACCTCAGAAGGATTCCATGGGAGCATTCCAAGCCTTTACTATTTGGGTTATTCCTTTGCTTGTCAAAGGACAACTTTATAAACCATGCATGCTGTTTGCCACGGTAGCCAACTGCAAGGTGGAATATCTCAAGTCGGGACGGCTAGATATTCGATTTCTCGACAGTCTTGAGCCAGTCTTGAGTTATGGTTGAGTCGCCATCGTATTTTGAGCCGTATCGGCCCGTTTTGGAACAACTGAAGAATATCACTCCCGATAATTTTCCATTCCGAGAGTACCTGGTCCCTTGCTATTCTAATGTGAAATCTCCCCAGTACCTAAGAATTGGAATATTGGAACGCCACGTGGGATATGACCTAGAGGAGACCCTTAAGTTACAAGATGGTCGCGGTGGAGGCGTAGTGTCCATTTGTGATCTTCTATTGTGGCGAAAAGCTGATGAAGTTAACCGAAACGATTCACAGCTTGAGGCACTGAAAGATGCTCTTACCAAAGAGTTTTCCGTAATACAAGGTCCTCCCGGGACAGGTAGGATTCATTTAATTATAACCATGCATCCATCTGATTAATGAAATTTCTTAGATTAATTTGCAGCACTCTCATGCGGTTTTGCACAGGCCGTAAAACGATATAACTGCCACTACCACAAGAATATAGACAAGTGTGATTTCAAGTAAACCTCCCCCCCCCGAAATGCCCTAGAGTGTTTTTCTCATTCTTTGATTGTACATTAAATTGGATGCCATGATTGACTAATACCCAAAAATCGTTCGCTAACACCTTTTGAACTAAGTAGATGTTCTAGCACTCAGCCTGAGTCTCGCTGCAGCTCAGTGGTTAGAACACCTGACTGATGTTGCGGGAGGTCATGGCTTCGAACGTTTCGGGACTCAATGTTTTCTTTGTTCCAAGCCTCTTGACGTGACAAATATCACGTCCTTCTCCTTATTTTATTGGTCTTACTTCCTCCTTTTTTTCTTTCCAGCTAAAACCTACTTTGGGTTAAAGATTGTAAGAGCTCTTCTTGACAACAGACACGAGTGTGACGCCGAGAAAAAGTCAGCCATTCTGATGGTTTGCTATACCAACCACGCACTGGATCAGTTTCTGGAAGGAGTGCTGAAATTTCAACAACAGGAATAATGACAGTTGGTGAAGCTCTTCAGAAATTCTTCAACCGTACGATCTACAACAATACACGAATTCTTTAGAAAACAAGCGTCGCGTGAGAGTTGAAATGATGAAATGTCAAGACGCCATCGAGAGAGTGAGTGGAAGACTAGTGCGTAGTAGGGAGACCATCCTTACCCCGATGGCGTACTAGTTAGGGACGGCTTGAACAAACACTCCAGTGTTTGGAATCTCTCACAACCAACAACAACACATCCACCATCAGGAAGTTCATAGCTTTGGTTATTGTTGACTTTGGAATTAGCAATGCTGATTCATGCTCGAAGTCTGCAGCAACCTAGCAAAGTCGTTGTTTCATCTTGCGCAGTATCTATAACTCATCTGTGGTTGCGAATGAGCAACCCCGCTGTTTCAGTAGACTCCCAAGGTAGTCGGTCACGTGTCTACCAGCTAATTCAAGGCGAACACAAGTACCAGGTGGAGGAGATTAACCTTGATATACTGAACTGCATGACTGACACCATCTTCACTGTCAAATGCAAGACCAGTTGTGCGACCAGCAGAGTAGAATGCTAACACTTGCTGAGTTGCCATGTATAAATCTGGCACCTCAAATGTCTCGAACATAACCTGGTCACAGGAAGGTGATACATAATTTTAATTATGTAAAAGCCTGGGCCCGGTTCCTGAAAGGCCGATTAGCGTTAATCCAGGATTAAAATTTTGTTCCATTTTTGTATTTTGCATTCCTATGCATTGCTTAGGGTAACATTTTGTGTTATCATTACTGTATGCTTGAAATTTGGCTTAATCCTGGGTTAAACTTAACCATCTTTCGAGGAACCGGGCCCTGTACTGTACAGACGCCCTCGGGTAATGCCGTTATTGATCTATTTTAAAACAAAACATGTCTTCTCAAACAACTTCCCTTAAAATTAACAGTAATGTTGATTCCGAGTTTAATATACGTTTAATACTGTTTTAGGTATTGTTCATTTTACTTTAAAATCGAAAAAGAAGAGAAACGTACAAGAAAGAGAATCTGCGTAAGGGTTATTTGAGTGATAAGTACTCTTTACTTCAAGCACCTTGAGGAGGTAGTTACATTGCTTTAAAAGAAGTGGTTCTAATTTCAGTTTCCCGGCCATTGTTGAGACATCGCTTTTTGTAGTTTTATAGAGGAAAGATTGTGAGGAAAGATTGTGTGACGATAATGCCGTACGTTCGCGTCACACCCACTCATGAATCTTCAAACGTAAGAATTATTTTCTCACTTTTACATTTATATTTCTTATTGACGTTGACCTTTGCCCAATATTAGCCTCGGGGCAATATATATATGTTATTCACCGGCTGGGAGGTCCGTATTGGGAGAAACTGTGCCCGAGGTCTTGAGTACCGCCCGAGACCGTAGGCCGAGGGCGGTACTCAGACCAAGGGCACAGTTTCTCCCAATACGGACCGACCTAGGCGGGTGAATAACATTTATATTTTTCTCCTTACTGAGATTTAAAGTTTCAGGAAAATTTTACTTCAGCCTCCAACCTATGTGTGTTGAAGAAGGGCGCGTTCGTGTTGATGTTATTCAAAGCGCGCGATCGATTGCAAACCCGAACAAAACATTACAACATGATTTTTAACTTGTAATTTATATTATCACAATTAAGCTCTCTTTAGAATAAAGAAATGTTTTGGTATCTTGGTAGACAATTCATAATCTGAGTGTCAAACAAGGTTAAAAAGAATTGACGAACTTAAAAACCACAGGAAAGAAAATACATCAAATATTTTCTTCGGCTGAATATTTACTTTAAGATTAATGCAATCGAGCGGAATAAAAACTGCACAAAGGCTTTATAAAAAGAGCTAATTACACTTACAAATCCTAGGGTTTTGAAGTGAATTCGAATAAAAGAAGGCGATGTGGGTATCTAAACAATTATATAAACAAAGAAATAAAAACGGCGATAACTGACTGCTGGAAAAGTTGTTCGTGTTGGTTATTCAAGATTGAAAGCTACATACAATCGTTGACAACAAACGTTTCTGAAAGGTAGAAAACTAGCGAGGCAAAATTCAATGAAAAACGGCAGAATCTAGATTCAGACAGCAAAAATGGAGAACAAACCTACAAACAGAGGAAAAATGTCGAATAAACGGTGTATAAGAGCAAGATTACAATACTTACAGCGTAGTTATAAAGCTAGTGAAGCGACATCACGAGCCGCCTGTTTTGCTTTACTTTGGCGGTTTTTTTCTCCCTTCACATGTTTTGTCTGAATAACAAAATTCACTTTTCCCTAGCTAACGCTAATAATAGCGCAAGTTTTAAAAGAAAAATGGTTAAAAAATCACCGGTTTTACTCATTCACAAACAACAAACAAACTTGTGAATAAAGCTGCCAACGATTCCGCCCGGGTTAGCGGGCAAGATCGTAAAAAACTGCCCACCCTCGGAACCAATCAGATTGCAGGATTTGGAGGATTCCGCCAAATTTGTTTTTTGTTTGCCAGAACCCGGAATATAAAATTGATTGGAGTCCTCATATACATTTAAAACAGTTATAAATCAATTTAGCGGCATGATTGTGGTTTTTACCTCCGTAGTCTTTTCTCTGTTACTTTTGGATTCAACGGGCCTCTGTCAGTAGAACGGGACAACCCTTGGTATATGCAGCCAACGGCTTGTTTAAAATATGATCCCAAATCTGCATTGTAGTTGACAAAGCCATGCATGTTTTAAAATACGATTCCAAGAACCTACGGCAAGAAATTAACTCTTCTTTTGTAAAGCTGTATTACCCAATACATCTCACCCCAGTCTGTTACGATGCCATGTTTGCGGGCAAGTAATTGCGAGCCCGCAGTCTTATTTTTGGAGGGGGGGTTAGCGGGACTTTCTTAAACCGTAAAGCGTTGTCTGTTAACTGACAGTTCTATAAGACGGACACTTGATGTAGGTTCTTGCCGTTTTTCACTCATTTTACTGTAACTGTACTCTGTATAAGACGGACCTCTCTCTTAGACGGATAAGGGACAATTTTGAAACCGTCAACGGACACTTGAGAAGTGCTTTATGTAGTGAAAAATACCTCAAAAACGAAAGTTTGGGTGCTCTACATGACATCAAATTGCAAGTAGGGGAAGCAAAATGCAGCACGCTTCCCCTACAGCTTGTACCGTGAAACCATTATCGTCATTTCTACATTCTTCGTGACAAACCATTATAACGGATTAATTTTCGCATGTTTAAGTACTAAAAGTACTGTATTACAGTTTGTTTTCAGTTAAAATTGCTACTCAAAGAAGCCAATACCCTGTACTGTATTTTTATTATTCTGCAGTCTTGTTTCAGTTAGCAGAGTGTATACTTTTACTTTTTTAGACCACTAAACCGTGAGCGTTGGCTTGTAATGAACGTTAACGATTGTACAATAATACTAGAAAATAATTCCATTTTCCTATTAAATTGCTCCAGCGTTTACTGTTTTGCATAAGTAAAACGGTTGTATTATAATTGCCAGCGAATAGGTTCAACTTTATTTTCTTATAATTACTGGTGTCACGTTACCTCGACTCTCTATAAGCTGGACACCTCTCTAAGACGGACAGTCATGGCCGGTCGCGAAGGTGTCCGTCTTACAGAGAGTTGACTGTAATCAACTGTAATCAAATTGCTTGTTCCCTGTCTCTCATAATTTCCAGTACACATTTTTAGCACTACAGTGGTTTTATTTTATGTTTCCAACCATGTTACGTCGCTTGTCATCTTACAGCTTCAATAAGCTTTAAAGTTAGCCTGCGTAGCAGCCGTCGAAAGGGGTAGGGGAGTGGGAGGCTGCTTTAAAGTAAAGCTGTTGAGTCTCAACGACCTTGAATCATTGAACACGGATTGAGACTCCGTGCGGTCGTCTCTTTGAGCGTGTTTTCATCGTGAGCTTATCTAAGCTATTGTCCTTTTGAACAAAATCGCCCAATTTAATCTGACTCTTGTTTACTGTGTTGTTCAATTCAAATTCTACATTTATGATTCCGTAGCGATTTGCTCTGTTGATACTAGAACTAAAAGGGTTTTCTTATTCACGCACGCATTTACTATTCACTTATTATGAATTGAAAGCGGTTCACAGCATCAATCACATTTCGATTTAAGGTAAACGCAAATGTTCGCCGGCACTTTCTAACTTCCTAACGGTTACTACTAGTTAATAGGATATAACAAATCCAGATCACTCTTCTTCGCCTAGGCGTCGTCACCGATGAAGCAGTGTAGCCAACTTTTGCCAACCCTTGGATCGTAGTATTTAGGATGACCAACGATGGAAGGAAATGTAACGCGAGCGGCATCTTCCTCAACAAAACCATTACCTTTGTAGTGCAAGAGCCGTTGTCTAACTATGGAGACCTATGGCCCGCGATAATCATTTTAACTATGTTTTTATGTCGAAAACGTGGTAGGTCGTGGTAGAATGCTTGCGTGACCATTTCATGGGTAACGGAAGTTTACGTCATCATGTCAGATTTTATCACCATTGACAGCATTTAGATCTCGCAGTCACTGCTGATGGAGAAAAAAAGATTGCCTTAAGATTGTCAAACGCACTAGTAGTGTCACTATTGTGGGACAATCTTTTGTTTGGACTTCCCAGACAGTGGAATGCTGACTTTTCTAAGCCTCGATTCACCCCGCACCTCACCAAAACTTTTTTTCTTTCCCTAGTCAAACACACAAAAGAGGCCCAAAAAATTGCCTTCGGTTTTTCTGGCCCATTTTTGTTTTCTCCGGTGGGTTGGGGAGTAGGCTTATACTGTACGTAGAAAAAAGTCCGAATTACGGTGGTGACCAGCCTGGATTTTATGTTGTTTGACTTTTACCCACAAAGTGAGTTCAGTGCCTTTACAGTGGTTTGGATGATCTTGACGAGTGTTGCTAAGGCTGTGTTAACGGCTTGCGGGTGCCCAACCTCGTCAAGTTCTCGGAACGAGGTTGGCAGATCGCTGGGTACGGTGCC